TATCTATCTATCTATCTATCTATCTATCATCTATCTATCTATCTATCATCTATCTATCTATCATCATCATCAATCCATCCATCTGTTTATCCAATCCTCTGTTCACCTCTCTCTCTCTACATATCTATATCTATCCATATCCATCCATCCAGCTATCTAGCTATCTAGCTATCTGTAGTCCTTGACTTCCAATCACAATTGAGCCCCCAATTCCCAAAATGTGCTTAGGACAGTGTAGTACTTCACACATAGTACTTCTCCTCTTCCTTTCCTTCTTCCTTCCCTTCCCTTCTTTCCCTTCCCCTTTCCTCTTCCTTTCCTTCCCTCTTCCTTCCCTTCCCTTCCTTTCCTTTCCTTTCCTTCCCTTCCCTTCTTTCCCTTCCCTTTCATCTTCCTTTCCTTTCCTCTTCTCTTTCTTCTCTCTTCTCTTCCTACCCTACCCTACCCCTTGTTTGTCAATTTCAACACCTTTGAGATGCATTGGCTTCAGCCTCTAGATTCCCCTTAGCCAGCCTGCTTAAGGGCAGGGGAAGCTAAACTCAATTCCCGAGGACCAGGCCCGAAGGCAAAACAGAGACAATATTGGCTTGGAGAAGAAACTGGGATGCAGCCTCGAGACCTTCAGCCTGGCCCAGTGAGGCTGAGGCTTCCCTCCCAAACACTGCGACGTTGTCCATGATATTTGCTTTCTCTATTCACATTGCGGAACTGGAAAAGCGCAGAATTGTGAAGTCTTGGCAGGAGGTCCAGGAGAAAATATGATCAACCAAAGCAAGGGAACTCGTGAACGGAATACAGGCAGTCCCCCACTTATGACCGGTTGCTTAGCAAACGTTCAAAGTTATGACGGAGTTCCCGCAAAGGTACATACGACATGGTTTCGACACCCGTGCAACCCCTCCCACCCCGGCAGTCACACGACTGCATTTTGGCCCCCTGGCAAAAAAGTTGGCATTTATAGCCATGCCTGTGTTTTACAATGTTTTGCGTAAAAATGGCCTTTATTTCTGGGTTTTGCCATAACGTCCCATAGTCAACAACCATTGCTGCAAAAAAAAGAAAGAAGAAAAAAAAAAGAAAAAAACAGTTTGCAAGTTGGGTCATTTACGTGATGACTCACTTAATGACCATCCTGGCTTTCAGGCACTATTATTATGGTCATAAGTCAAGGACTACCTATAGGCAGAAATGTTCAACAATGGATGAAGACAAATTCCACAAGTAGAACAAGTCATTCTAGGAAATGTCCATTTCATCTTTACTAGTAAATTTTAAACACAGATAGTCCTCAATTTACAACCATTCATTTAATGACCGTTCAAAATGGTGACTGACTCATAATTATGACACTTGCAGTGTCTTGGGGTCATGTGATCCCCCCTACTGTGACCTCCTGACAAGCGAAGTCAATGGGGAAGCCGGATTCACTTAACAACCGTGTTGCTAACCTAAACAACTACGGCGACTCACTTAACAACCGTGGCAGGAAAGGTCGTAAAATGGGGCAAAACTCACCTAACAACTGTCTCGCTTAGCAACAGAAATGTTGGCCTCAATTGTGGTCGTAAGTCGAGGACTGCCTGTACAGAGATGGGAATTCAACTTTTTTATCGTTTTTCCATTCCTCCCGATGGAAAGAAATGTTGCGTGGAGATCATTTAAGACTCAACACACCTGACAGAACAAGCCTAAAGCAGACTCTGTAAGAGGATAACAACAATAACAGCAACAACAGTAGTGTTGGAAGGGACCTTGGAGGTCTTCTAGCCCACCCCCCTTGCCTAGGCAGGAAACCCTACACCACTTCAGACAAATGGTTGTCCAACCTCTTCTTAAAAACTTTCAGTGTTGGAGCATTTACAACTTCTGGAGACAAGTTGTTCCATTGATTAATTGTTCTGTCAGGAAATTTATCCTTAGTTCTAAGTTCCTTCTCTCCTTGATTAGTGTCCATCCATCGCTTCTTGTCCTGCCTTCAGGTGTCACGGAGAATAGCTTGACTCCCTCTTCTTTGGGGCAGCCCCTGAGATATTGAAAGACTGCTATCATGTCTCCCCCTAGTCCTCTTTTTCATCAAACTAAAAGGTGAAGGTTCCTCTTGCACATACGTGCTAGTCGTTCCCAGTTCTAGGGGGGCAGTGGGCTCATCTCCGTTTCAAAGCCGAAGAAGAGCCTGCGCTGTCCGAAGACGTCTCCATGGTCATGTGGCCTGCAGGACTAAACGCCGAAGGCGCACAGAACGCTGTTCCCTTCCAACCAAAGGGGTCCCCCATTTTTCTACTTGCATTTTTTTCACACACGCTTTCGAACTGCTAGGTTGGCCGAAGCTGGGACAAGTAACGGGAGCTCACTCCGTTACGCGGCGCTAGGGGTTCGAACCACCGAACGGCCGACCTTTCTGACAGACAAGTTCAGCGTCTTAGCCCCTGAGCCATCACGTCCCACTCTTTTCACTGTAGACATAGCCAATTCCTGGATTTTGGGAAACCTGGGACGAAGGAGGCTCCTTCCACCTCAGCAGGATGAAAGCGGGGAGGGAAGAGGGATCGGTCCATGCCCAGGATTGTGTGAACAAAGTTCCAAGTCAGAGATGCAATGCCTCCCTAACGCCATGCAAACGTGGAGATTGTGCACAGATGTCCGGTGGGAAGAGGACAGTCAAAATTCCTGGGATCCGCTGCTTTTATGGTTTTTTTTTTTTTCCCTGGGAGCTGACAATAATCTTCAAGGTCAGTTCTCCCAGCTCTCTTCTCAAGCCCTTTGTGGCCTACAAGAGTTATGGTTTTTTTTCGCAAAGCAAGCGTAAACAGTGTTCAAGGAAATGGAATCAAGGATGCCATATTTACACCACGTCTTTAAAATAAATGTTTTAGCTCCAGCTTCCGGTGCCAAAACATTTTCCGTTTAAGAATGATGTTTTGTAGACAGCAGAAGGGCAGACTTGGAAAACACGATTACTCTTGTGCTTAAGAGCTATGGGAGAAGGAGGGAAGAGAGAGACAGCAGGCTAGATTATCTGGACTTTAAGCACTGGGTATACAGAATAACAGAAGGGACCTTGGAGGTCTTCTAGTCCAACCCCCTGCTCAGGCAGGAAACCCTATGTCATTTCACACAAATGGTTGTCCAATCTCTTCTTAAAAACCTCCAGTGATGGAGCACCCACAACTTCTGGTGGCAAGTTGTTTCACTGGTTAATTGTAGGAGAAGAGAAACACTTCCTGGGCTTACATTTATCAAATATGCACCAGTGGTAGTCCTTGATGTACGATCACAATCGAGCCCCAAAATGTCTGCTTGATAAACCAGACATTTCACAGGAATTTTGCCTCATTTTACAACCTTTCTAGCCACAGTTGTGAAGTGAATCACTGCAGTTGTTAAGCCAGTTACATGGTTGTTAAGTGAATCTGTTGCTAAGGGAGGCATACGTTAAACGAGCTTCGTCTCATTTTATGACCATGCTTGGAATGCTACATCCAGTTTTGGTCGCCGTGATGTAAAAAAAAGATGTTGAGACTCTAGAAAGGGTGCAGAGAAGAGCAACAAAGAGGATTAGGGGACAGGAGGCTAAAACATACAAAGAACATTTGCAGGAATTGGGTATGTCTAGTCTAGTGAAAAGAAGGACTGGGGATGACATGATAGCAGTATATTCTAGTATTTGAGGGTCTGCCCCAAAGAAGAGGGAGTCAAGCTATTCTCCAAAGCACCAGAAGGCAGGACAAGAAGCAACGGGTGGAAACTAATCAAGGAGAGAAGCAACTTAGAACTAAGGAGGAATTTCCTGACAGTGAGAACAATTAACCAGTGGAACAACTTGACTCCAGAAGTTCTGAATTCTTCTCCACTGGAAGTTTTGAAAAAGAGATTGGACAACTATTTGTCTCAAATGGTATAGCATTTCCTGCCTGAGCTGGGGGTTGGACTATAAGACCTCTAAGGTCCCTTCCAACACTGTTATTCTGTTATCCCAAAGGGATAACGTATGTTTTTAACCAGAATACAAGTGGCCACTCACACTGTGCATTTGGCAAATCATTCATTAAATTTGCCCCAAGTACCCCACCTTCCAAATCTTTCCTTACGGAGGGTGGTGTGCGAGATAAGTGAAAATAAATGACTCGAAATCATTACAAGATTTTTCTTGTTCTTGTTGTTGTTGGCTTTACTCAACACAAGCCGAGTTGACAAACCCAGGCCCCAATTTCGCTGACATTAGTTTACGTCTCATTAGGACTCTAATGAAAACAGCATGCCGGCTCGACTTTAAAAAGGAAAAAAAAAAAGTCTTTTTTTTTTAATTAAAAAAAAAAAAAAGACAATCCAATTGCTGTGTAAGCAAACGGGGGTTTCGTTTCCTCAAACGCGCTATAACCGCGGCTTCAAACGGACCGCAAGAGACTCTTACAAGTGCATATACAAGGGATTTAAAGTCTATTACATTCCATATATTCTTCGCTTTAATCTAGAGCTTTTAATCTTGACTCGAGCCAACGTCATCTCTATTTGTCAGGGTTGGCTGTGATTACTCTGATCGGCGCAAGGAGAATCTTCTCCGCCGGGTTTTTCCTGGGGCCTGTTTGACAGGCAACCCACATCCTACCTTTTTCCTTTGATTTATTTTTATTTTATTTATTTCATTTTTTAAAAAAAAATCTATTTTATTTTAAAAAATGTATATCGCTGCGCACTTAGGGAACCCATTTGGGGCAGGGGGGGGGAGGGGTTAGACGCTAGACTAGAAGTGAGTTCTAGTCCCACCTTGGCCATGACTGTCAGCTGGGTGACTTTGGGGCCGGTCACCGGGAGATGGGGAGTTCTAGTCCTGCCTTAGTCATAAAAGCTGGCTGCCTGATTTTAAGACAATCCCTGGGAGACAGTGAGTTCTAGTCCTGCCGTAGGTAAAAGCCAGGTGGGTGACTTTGGGCCAATAACCAGGAGATGGGAAATTCTAGTCCTATCTTAGCCATGAAAGCTGGCTGTGTGATTTTTTAAGACAATCATTAGGAGACAGTGAGTTCTAGTCCTGCGTTAGGCATGAAAGACGACTAGGTGACTTTGGACCAGGCAGTCTCTCTCTCTCAGCCCAACTTACCTCACAGAGTTGTGGGTTGTAGGGAAAAGAGGAGGAGGAAGGTGTGTTGGATATGTTTGCCGTCTTGACTTATTTGTAAGAATAGTAAAGGCTAGATAGAAATCAATACATTTATTTAAAAAATATATATATATCCAGCAATAAGTTTTGAAACACCAGAAGGGGACCTTCTAAAGAGGAATGATTTGAGAAAGAGCACGGACCATTTCAGGGCGAAGTAGCTGCAAATATTTTGGAGCCAATCTGATTCTTTCCTGCAAAGCCATTTGGTTGAACACACCCAGTGCATTTTCCCATGACTTTATATGTTCCTTTTTCTAAAGGAGTGGATGCTTCCCCTCATGTTATTTTTTTTTTTATATGTGCCCCTGCAACATTAAGCATGGCTTTCATTCTTTTATCCTGCACCTTCCCCATCTGGAGGACAACCCCATAAAATGCAGAACTGGCAGGGCAGCCAACAGGCTACGGAGGGGTGACAGGCCTTTCGGAAATTCCTAAAAACCCAGCAAAAAAATTCTTTGAACCAGAGATCAAAGCTTAAGAGATACTTAATTCTGCGGTGAGCAACTCACAGGCAGCATATGTTAATGGGAACCAGCAAAAAACCCTACCAAAAGCTGATTAAATCATGTTAATAATATAACATTAAAAGACAACACAGCTGAGTGTCAATCACCCCCATTCAAGACTCAAAGTGACAGAAGGCAGGAAGAGCCTGACATTTTCCCCTCCCCTCCCCTGAAAAAAAACAGAAGAACTACAGGTAGTCCTCAAC